ACACAAGGTAAATTTTTGGGGCCGGAGCTGGTCGTAACATGAAAAATTCGTAAGCAGAGGCGTTCGTAATTCGAGGTACCACTGTATTTGGAGGAAAAGTACTTGGGGAAAAAAATTACAACTATGCTGCTTTTTAAAAAATGGAGGAATCATTACTTCCCCCAAATGTATTCTGCAAGCTTATTCAACTTCAGCTTTTGATAGAACATTGGTTGTCCCAAAGATGTAACTTGGGGCAAGCTAAGCAGCACTTAATAACATGCAGAAATTTGGAAAATCACAACATTTTCGCCATAGACAAAGGACTCCTAAGCAGTTTTTTTTATTGTATTGTTAACTCTTCTGGAACAGGCAAGTTAGCTACTTAATATTTTCTTTAATATGTGATGTAAGCTTTTGGAGTTGTTACTTTCAAAGCCTCACTGATCATATTCATTAATGTTTTACAATCTTTTCCCAGTAAAATTTATTTATTATTTACTTACCTACTTATTTTTCATTTTTGTGGCCCACCCAATCCAAAAACTCGGTACAGATGAGTGCCCAAGACATTCAAAGGTATAGTGGAAGAAGTTGTATTGGCAGGCAGAAAGGTACTGTCTGGATTTCATTTATGAAATACCAGGAGAGAGGATATTGTATGGACCTCAGGCGGAGCAAGTTTCACTGCAGGAAACCGTGAACCATATAGTGGTCCTAAACTCACAGCTAACAAACACTCTCTATAAACAGCAATGTATTTTAGCATTCCCAGACTGCAGCTTATTTTAGTGAACATATCAATTCAAGCAAAAGAAGGTTTCATATCCACTTATCCTGAGGCTATGTATTAAATGGGTCTAGCAGTTTCATTTTTCTATCATTATTACATTTTACTCTTTTAAAAATTTGGGCAAAAAATTAAATCATAGATTGATTTCATGCAGATTAATCAGATAGTTAAAGCATACACTGTATAGTTATCACATAAGATTTTTGAAGTAGGTTATATTGTAATTATAGATTAGAATCACATTTCTAAAAATAATTAATCCTAGATTCACTTCAAGATATTAGTTTACTAAGATAATGTACTAATGATTTGTTTAAGTATTACAGGTAGTCCCCAGGTTACAGATGGCCCATAGTTAAGAATGGAGCCTACTATAGCAAAATTTGAGTTAAATACCCAGTGATTTAAGTTAAATATACAATGGTTCAAGTTTATTACACAATAATAAGTATACAGTACTATACAGTAATACTGTTCTGGCTTACATACAAATTTGACTTAAAGACAGACCTTGGGAACGAACTCATTCTTAAACTGGGGACTACCTGTATAGTGATTTGAGATTAGTTTTTACTTTTATGGTAATCTGCCATATATACTACTTAATAAAACAAGCACAGCTTTTATATTTATCATTTTATGTTGCTTATCTATTGATCAATTTAATTTCATATTTCTAAGGTCAAAAGACTATCTAAACCAATAACAAATGTTTGAGATTAACTTAAATACTGTGGATATTAATCAAATTGATTTTTCTGTTAGAAACTATTGTACCAATATTTGTAAAGACAATAACAGGGACTTCCCATTGATTATAGACTTACTTATTATTAGCATTATGCAGTAAAATAATATTTTCATGCATCTCTAACACTCAGAAAGCATCCTAGCCTATCTGACAAGCATGTTATTATTTTAAATTGTCCAGCCTCTATTGTGTGAGGCCTCAGCAAATGACAGCACCTTATCAGCCCTGGCTGATATCAGAAAGGGTTAGAGCTGGATTACTTCTTGGATGGAGACTGCCAGAAAATTCTAAAGTTGTAGATTTAGATCAAGAAATTAAAAAAAAAAAGAAGAGAGCAAACCAAAAGAGAGAGCGCACCAGTTTGGTTTAGTGGTTAAGGCACCAAGCAGAATACTGAGTTCTAGACCCACCTTAGGCTGGCTGGGTGACCCTGGGCCAGTCACTCCTCTCAGCCCAACTCACCCACAAAGTGTTGTTGTTGTGGGAAAAATAGGAGGAGGAAAGAGTATTAGGTATGTTTGCCACCTTGAGTTATTTATAAAAATAATAAAGGTGGGATAAAAAAAATCTAAAAAAAAGAAGAAGAAAAAACCCAGTTCCGTACAATTGCCATGATGCTACATGGCATTTCCATGCAATCACCAAAGGTTGAGCTCAGCTTGAAGGAGTTTTCACCTGTATTATTATGGGAGACCACTACATTTGCAGAATTAATAAGTTGTTAACTATGTTTTATTTATATTTTACCTTTCTTCTGAAGTGTACTTTTTTCACCCTCTACACTAAATTGTTAATGTTTTCTGATTCAACTATATGGACCCTTAAGTTCCTAAACACATGCCTGAATTTCCAGATTCCCAGGCACATAAACCCTGGATCAGTGAAAGTCATGAACTGTCTTTACAATTACAGACTTAATATTTCAGGTATTGATTGGTCTATATCATAAGATGAACAAAAATAGTTCTTTTACTCTCTGTCATGTGTATTTCAGACTGTCTCATCTGTTTCTCCTATCTTTTCACAGTGACTCCTCACGCATATTTTCACCTTGCATTTTTCTTTTAATTATTTAACAAATAAAGCTGTACAGTCACTTAAACTGCAGACATGGGGTCATTGTGAGGCTGTCCTAGGAACCTGAAGAGGCACCTGAATTTTTCTTCCAAGTTCAGAGAGAGGCTCTGAATCTAATCTAAGAAGGAGAAATCTAATACTTGATTTCTCTGCACATACCTGAAGTTATATCTGCAGTCTTTTTAGAAGTATTCACATTAGATAGGGAAAGCAAGGAGGATTGGGGAATAAGGCACCGGGGAATCAGGGTGGTGTTGAATCTTCAGGATCCAAACCTTTTCTACTATGCCTGGGATAATTTAGACTAGCCCTGGCTCTGGTCTAAATTCCATTGTTAGCAATAGAAATGGAAATTAATTTTAAAAACAATACTAGGAAAAGTAACCTCCTTCATTTTCATCCTGCCATTTTGTCATAGGTAGGATGCTGGATTCATAACATCCTTCTGCCTTGCTCAGTTTTTTGGATACAGTTTGCCATTATTGGAGATAGTTGTACTTGTTGGGCTGCTTCTAAATCCCTATATTTTAGCTTTGTTTTATGGTACATAAAATAGGAATCATATGCCACAGGATTATTGAGCTGATGAATAATAAACCACGAACAAATAACCTAATCAGAGAGAAAAAGAAAATGAACCTAATAAATAAAAACTATGCTGAAAATTAAAATGAGCCTTTCTCTTTCCCTTCCTCCATATTCTGGTGAGAGTGAAATTATATTTACAGTTTGGAAAAAATCAGTTTTTATTCCTTTTTTCATAAAAATGGACATACAATTTTCATACAATTCTCACTTGTCTGTGTTTTTTTCCGCAGTACAAAGGATGAACAGTTCAGTGTTAGTATTCAACCTCCAGTTGGAGAGTTACTTTTACCAGTAACTATGACAGAAAAAGACTTCAAGAAAGAAAGAGGTGAGAAATAAATTTCAAATTAGATAGTTTTTTGCTCATCTGCAAATGGTGTAAAAATTATTTTATTTTAAAAAATTGTACGCATCCTAGACATCTTCCATTCCAGTGTTTCACATTCCAGAAATTACCGATTGGGCTATATAGCCCTACCATCAAAAACTCCACATCCCCCTGAAGCATCTTCTTGGATGGGCACTTCTCATTTTCCTTTCCCCTCTTTCTGCCATGTAATGATTTTACCACAAATACCGAAAAATGGTGTTAAGCCAGAGCTGCTCATTATGTCATATTAACCAATATTAAGGTAGTGTTCTGCTATTTAGCTATAATGGGGATCTCTGGTGTATAAAAGCCACTATTTTTGCACTGTATAATAAAAAATGATGGTTTTATGCTCAAATTGGTGTACCTGGCTGCATAATATCTTCAGCTACGGTAAAAAAAGGTTTATGCACTTAGCTGCATCATTTTACGCTAAAAGTTTTGATTTTTTACAATAATAATTTAATTTTTTTAAAAAAAACAAACCCAGAGGTTGTTAATATACCAAAATTTTACTTGGCTTACCTGCATAAAATATACATGAGAAGCTCTTGTGTATTAAATAAAAATTTCTTCTGAGCTGAACTCTGCTCCTGGCGAAATATCCATGCAGCTTTCTGTTGCATGGAAATTATTTACCACTGTATTCTTCTGGCATGTTTTTTAATTTCTTAACCTACCCTACAGCACCAGTATTCCCTGGTAGGTCCCCATCCAAATATTAACCAGGCCTGACCCTGCTTAGTTTATGGACCCTGTTTGCTCCATATTTCATTCTTTATTATTCATTAGCTTCTTTAAATGGTTTATGTGGGGTTATATTCTCATATTGTCAGTTCCTCCAGTCTAATATATCACATTTTTTCCCAGAAAATTCAAAAAAGTGTTTTTTTGTTAAAGAAGTCAAGCACATCAGAATAATGCTGTACATGTCTTTCCTTCTTGCATTCAGTGGCTTGAAATAAATGATGAATAGCTTAGCAGTTATTTCACTAATTTTAATTATGATTATTTTCATGCGGTTGATACCTGAAATTAAAAATAAGGCCAATAATTTCTTTTTTAATCTGTTGATAACTATTTGCTGTTCTTACTTTTTGCTGGCCTAAAGCCTACTTTACGTGAGCCCAGCAAACCAAGGTGAGTGAGCATCTGAATTTTCTCATATTTTTTGTGAACGACTTCCTTCCACCTTCTCAAATTGCCATCCAGCAGCATAGTTTTAAGCAAAATGGGATATTGTACTCTGTCCCTCTCCCGTTCTTGTTGTATGCTTGCTTGCTTGGTGTTTGATTGAGTTTTCTATGCTTAAATGTGACTGAGAGCTTTTTTTTCCCCATGGCCGGCCATTCAGAACCATGAGTGCATAGAAAAAGTGCACTTTGAGAATAGCTGTGGCCCTCTATGGAGTTGTTGCCAAAATTCCTTTTTCTTCTGCCATTTTACTTCTGAGGTTGTTGATTATTTGTCTGAATACATCTGGCAGTTGTTTGCTATGTTTAATAGAGCAGAAAGGCTACTCTGAATAAGCTATTTGAAAATTTGTTTATATGAAGTATTTGTAAATCCATGGAAGCCTCTTGACATTTCAGTATGGCTCTTTCTGTCTTCCTGAATTCATTCTTTGATGCAGGACTGATGCTGGGAAATTTACCACTAGTTTAAAAAGCCTTTTATTTAGTATTGTCTTAGTTAAATGTTTCAGCTGTTTTATAAAATTCATAATAATAGAAGTCTCACTTCTTAGCTTTATGTATTTTATAAATAAGATTAAGAAACCACTTAGAAAATATAGAAAAGGGAATTCTTAAGCAGAGCTATTAAACCGGATTGTATCCAGATTTGGCCTGATGCAACTAGACTTGGAAAAGCAGGAATCCTCCAACTACTGTATAGTATCAGGGATGCCTGCTGAATGGGTATGTTCATATTATGATGCAGGAAACAGAGGAAGATCCCTTAAAATCAAGCAGAGATATTTTGCTTAAGGGATTTGCTGCTCATGGAAGGCTTCCCAATCTGTTTTTGGGCATCCCAGCTTCAGAAACATCCCATTTAGAAGTTCTTTCCAACCTCTGTGTAGCATTTCATGCAGAGGCTTACATGGAAAGAAAGATACACTGAAGTGTGCTGTCTAGAACTAGCACTCTGATCAATTCCTGCATCACACTATCACATAAAATGATTTGATTGGTTTCTGTTTAGATTGTTGCTGCAAGATGCCAGCCCATTGTGGTGTATTCAGTAAAACCATAATTAAACACGCAATGGCTTAGTGTGATATACAAATTCAACCACTGACTAATAGTGAAATCCAGGATATATCTACTTAGAAACAATCCAATTCCTATCAATAGCTTCTGATTAAATTTGCATATATTTGCAGTCTAAATCTCTACTCACATAGGAGTCTCCTAATTTTCCATAGTCTTTTAGAGTAAAAGACCTTCCAAGCCACCCAGAGTCACCCGTGGGGGGGAGATGGGCGGCATACAAATTTAATAATAAATAAAAAAAAAAAATAAAGAATAAAGAATAATAATGTAATCAGTATAGAATGATTTCTGAGTTTTCTTTCTTTTCTGAAGTGTTTCGAACCTTCATATCTAGAAATATTTCATAGTTATTCAGATCTAAAACATGTCGAGATAATGGATTTCTTAAAATAATAATAATAATTTTTGAAATTATTTTTACAACAGAAAGAAACATACATGTTTACCATATAAAATGTATGGTGAATTTCTGAATATTCCTGCTTCTTAAAGTTTTTAAGTAGCCCTAAAAGATGGGAGGGGGTATTAGTGCACATGCTGTGCATAATAGGCTTTGCTGTGCTACCTCACAGTTTTCTGTTCCAAGTCAGAGAAACATCTTTAGGAAAATTCATTCCATGGCATAGTTTGGAACAGCAGCTTAAGTTTATTTGATTTTGCTCTCTACAATCAGTTTAAATAATGCCTGTCTTTTAGCTTATGTTTCCAACTGCAAATATTGAACAGTATTTATTGATACAAATCCTTTAACAATGCCAGTGCTAAGTCTTTCTGTAATATGATATGCTACAACACTTCATGTAGGTGTCATACTGTTTTCCTTAAACATGGCAAAGTTCTTTGGGAAGAAGCCGAAGGCTCTAATCTCTGTCAATGATTTTAATATTATATTAGTAATTTTTATAATGTCAAACTAACTAAAAATCCTGAAACCTTTGTGTTTCCAGCTTTATAGTGTAGTTTAATTAGCTTGGATATTTGTTAGGAATGCTGCTATACATTTTTATAATTAGATACAAGATCTGCAATTTTATTATTTTTTTTTTTAAATCTAATTCTTTTCTGTGGCAATTCCTTTTTCTGGATTTTTTAAAAATTTCCATTTTGGTCTAAGTGCAGCCAGTAGGTTTCATTTATTTTTAAAAAATGGTTGTATCTTTAAAAAAAGAAAAAATCCACATAATGTTTGCTTGATTTTTATCAAGATTTATGCTTACAACATTTTCTGTCTCCCTAACAAGCAAGGTGTAATTCTTTAAATGGTCAGGCATTCCCTATTTTCTGGCCTTTAACTACCACAAGCAATCATATTTGATGCCCCTTAATTAGAGCACCTTTTTTTCTTTTCAGGTTCTTTTCCACCTCAGCAATCGAGACAATACATTTGCTTACCATGCTAAGTGTTCTTTTGCATGTAAATTAATCTTGATTCAGTTTACACTGTCATGCTGAGTGGTACAAATTGCCTATAACAATAAAACAGCATGAGTTAAAAATAAAGGGGGGGGGATAGTGGTAAGGCAGATTGAATGTGTGCCTTACTTGATAGGATGTTACTTTGCTTTATGCCAATACATTAGTCAATGATAATGAATCTTCTGTTCTGAAAAGCATGGTTTAGTTGATTTTTTAAATTTTACTTCAATGGAGCAGTACCTTGTCTTTATAGAACAAGTTAGACAAACCATTAATGACAAGAGTGTTAAGGTTAAATATGAAGCAATGCATTCACTTCTCTGAGTGCTATCCATCTTTCCATTTACAAGAGCTTGACAAAAGTACTGGCTTTGTACAACATTTCCTTTAATTACATGGTACGGAAAACAGGCTTTTAACATAAACATAGTTGCATTCATTTATTCAGCATTTGCTCTTCAATAGAGCTTAATGGAGAAGGTTTAAATCCTTAATGAGTACACACATCTTTCAACAGTGTTATGTCAGTCCTCTGCTTTGCTTAAAAGCAGCCTTAGATGACTTCTGTATTTTTTCAAAGCATTTGCCTAATGTCAAATTTAAAATATCTGCAACAGAACATACAGTTCAAACTAAATTTGCTATTTTTAAAAAAGCTGGATAGTGTTAATATTTTCTTGAGTAAAGCATTTTGTTTAAAAGGAAAAAAAACTTCAATATTAAAACAAGCGTGATAATACTTTCAAATGTATTTTTCTGCTTCTAACACTAGCCATTACTGTTTACTACCTATCTGTTTAGGCACATCTGAATGGACTGTGAGATGGGACTTGGATGTGTTTGTTCTTTCCGTTTGATCCCAGTGGACAGAGGGCACATGTGTCTCAATTCTGTGCCTGTCTGCAGTAAAGTCCTGTGGCACATTAGTTATTATTGGCGAGAGTTTTCACAAGGCAGTAGTCATACTTCACCTGATACACTTGAGACAGGAGGCTGACCCTATGTTATGTCTCTTTGTTTTGTTTCGTGCATTGGTTTCCAGCCTTCTTTTCTTTACATGTATGCTTCTTAAGTTGACTTTTAAGGGAAATGCCCAGAATAATGCATTAAATCTTTTGGTGTGATTGAAAAAACTAAATGTTGATCAAGCTTTGTAGGACCTAGCTACTACATCTCTGTCTGTTATAGTGGTTATTCAATATCTTATTGTCAGCTGCAGAGGAATTATCAAAAAGTACTAACTTCATGCAACTGTAATTTGAATAATAGAAACAATTGGCTCTATATTTATACTGTATTCTTAAAAATTATACAGAAATCCTCTTGAAAAGAAGAGCTAAACTTTTAAGAAAAACTAAATGTATTCCCAGGTGGTGTGCTTTGTCTTTAACATTCATTTCATTGATACCCAGCTTTTACTATTTCAGGAAGGCTGACAGGTATGAATGAAGCATCCGCTACAATCTCTGTGGCACCACAGAACACCACCCGTCTTGTGATTCTGCAGAAGGTAACAAGTGTAGCAAACCTCGGTGGGGTTCCTTCTGGTGAAGATAATGTCCACAGGTAATCTCAGTGTAAAAATCTTTTGTAAAGTTTAACCCAGAAATGTTATATATGAATAGATGGCTATCTGGGAATCTCCCTTAAAGTTTGCATTCAAAGTCAGGTTTGGTCTTTAGCACATTTAAATGATACTGATTTAATAACTTGTGAATGCCCATTTTTTAATTATAACAACAATATCCTCCAATTAACTCTAGCAATCTGTTTATAAATAATGTTCCGCGTGTATGTGAATCTGTCTGTCTGTCAGAGGAAGTAAATTCTGTGTGTGTGCTTCCTCACTCCCCTCAAGAAATATTCCTAAATAGTTGTAATACTTAGGAATAAAAGCTAGAGGACTTCTAGTGAGGACTGATGGCAGACTACACATGTCCAAGGGAATGGAGATGGCATTGCGGCAAGATCGGCGGCATTACGGCAAGATTGGTGCCCAGACAGCATTTTGCTGGCCGGCCAAACCTCTTTGGATAAAGGAGAGATCATGAGATTGCCCACTTGCACTCCAGACAGCTGCTCCTCATGAGTAAACTGTAGGAACTGAGGTTTTACAGCCAGCTCATGAGTTGAACAACTGGGAGTCAAGAGGTATCCATTTTTAACTCCTATTTTTAAGTTTCCTGGTGGCACTTTTTCTGATTATGTGGGACGCTACAGCATACTTGTGGATGCATGACTGGCAGAAACTAAGAAATCAGTACTTATCAATGTGCAGAGAAACAGGATGAAAACAAAATATTGTACAGGCCACTGTAGATTAACTGTCCTTATGAACCTTAATAATCACTGTACATAGCAGTACAGGACTAAATAGCAAAGCTATATAGAAAACCAGTGCATCAGATGTAGGTTTCTAATATTGAGAACTAAGCTAATTTCAACATATAATTTAAAACATCTCCATACTGCATACTTTTTCTCAGCTTCTAAACTATGGCACGTATCAAATTTTAGAATGTCTTGAACAAGAAATGCCTGTCTTTGATGACTTCTCAGTATAACAAACAGTGTGACTGTACTCATTTTAAAATAATATTTGAATGAATTAGAATTCCATTTCTACTTCAAAAACATTAAATAATCACTTAAAAAGCTATACAGTATTCGGTTTCATTGATCTTGTTTTGCAAATTGTGTAGTAGAATGCAAAGTATGCTTCTAAAATAGGATTCCACTTTTCTTGTCTATGTGATTGTGATGAAAAATGGAACATTATGAAAGAAAACATGTTGCAGATAGCCTATTAATGTGCAAGACTTGAGCATTTTACTAACACTTTCAACCACTGCTTTTCCTGGAGTCATTCCCCATTACAACCTTCCTAACAAAATAACATTAAACTGATGGATTTATCTTAGTTAAATATGTAAATTAGGTATAGTATATGATCAGTTTTACTTTTAGCTAAGTGTACAGGGCTCAGTTCACATTTGCTGTATCATCCTATGAATGCATTCGGTGGTCAAGGAACCACTGTAATACTACTTTTGATTCCCACCATAATCTCATAGGGAATTACAATAATGAATGTATAGTTCCTCTTCCTTACTGAGGAGTTTTTCACAGATTTATGTCTATGTGTATTTTGATGGCAGGCAAATATATTACAAGTTTTAAAAATTCTATGAAATTCTATGAAAATTAGAAAGGACTATGAATAAATGAATTTGGTTTACTTCCATTCTTAATGTTGTTAAGAGTTGGGCAGCATACATGATGATGACAACAAAGATGAAGATGATGATGATGTTTTCATTGTATACTGAAAAGTTTCATTACTGCCTATATATTTTATCTTAGGAAACTGAAAGAAAGCTGATGTAATTAACATTTATTCACCTGGCTCAAACAACTGCTCTGTTTTGGTGAGGACTGATTGTGAATGAGTGATGTACCTGTGTACCTGGCTCCTGCTTATCTGTTCTCTGCCAAATAAAGAGACAGAAACGGTTTCACTTGTGAGACTTCTGAACTGAGAAATCATGTTATGATTCATTATATGCTTTGCAAGACACAGTTCATGTGCCATGAACAAACCTTGATTTATTATTTAGACTTGTAAAGAACACAAGCCAGGCTCTCTGGTTTAGACAACACAGTAAATAGCTAGCATTTGGTTCCATTTTACCACTCTGGATCTCAGGAAGAACCAATTGGGAATGAACAAGGTGTGTGTTTGGTTTGCCATCCACGCTGAATGCAGATAGGTTTTCCCATAGGCTACTAAATTTGTGTTAGCACTTTGATATCCTTTTATGGCCTTATGGTGATGCAGATAATCAAATAGGAGACATGTACAGAGTTTTTCCATTTCAGATTGGCACATTTCTAGGGCCTGTCTGAGAATGAGAAGAGATACTGTAAAGTGCAAAGAAACTGTCAGCCCTTTGAGGTAAGCTAGATCAGAAAACAGACACAGGAACTACTGTAACTCTATTTTATTGTTACATGGTATAATAACAGAATCTTGAAAGCCTGACAGAGTTTCCCTTTTCCTCCCTCTCATACTCAAGAGAATCAAGGTAGGCCAGCCTTGAGTTTCTTTCCCATTCCCTCCTTTCTTTCAGGGCTAAACAGATGTTTTTGTAATATAACATCTTGTAATGTAATTCTTTTTGGAAGTTGCTCTGTACATTTTTGCAACTTTTTTTTTACAGCTTTTTGGGAGGAGTAAAGAAAAGCTCTTTTCCTGTACTAAATCTTATGCAGGTATATTAGAGCTATTGTGCTTCCTACAAAAACCAATGTATAAAGACACACATTTTATTTTTAAAAATACCTTTAAATGTTTCCTGCAATGTGATCCTTTTATTTACTTGGTGCAAACAAGTGCTGTATTAAAGATATAGTCTGGATGATGTCAACATTTAGTATTCTCTATAGCGACATCTTTCTTGTTTATATTTAGATTAAGTCAAAGAATGTTGGAATATATATTATTGCATAGTGATGTGTATATTCTTGTTTATTTTATATTCTACAATTTTGCCACAGTTGTGTCTTGCTATCTATTATAGATAAAACTCAAGTCTTTCTTATCTAATTTCCAGCTATCAGTGTGGAAGAAGAAATAGTTTTATTGTGCAGTACACGTCTGTCAGGATTTAGCTTTTGATATTTGAAATATAGTTCCATGGATAATCTTCACTGGGTTAAACTTTTCTGTGAACTGCTTATGTCATGACTCTGTTGCTACTTCTTATGCATACAGCTGTATTTTCCCTTATCGTCTTGATTTGTTGTCAGCTGCAAAGCTGGCAGTTCTCACCCCTATCTCCAGATTCTTTATGAAGAAGTTAATAATCACATCCTTGGGGAATCCGGCTTGTTTACCATACTCCATCATGAAAAATGACCTTTTACTTTGCTTCTCTGCTTTCTGTCCCTTAATTTGATCTTTAAGAGGACTTCTGTTATTTCATGACTGCTATGTTTTTTCGGGAACCTTTGTTGTAGAATTTTGTCAAAAGTTTTGTGAAAATGAAAGTAATCTTGTCATAGTACCCCCAATTACATACATACTAGAATAGTTTCATCTTCTAATACAGGTATTCTCAAATTTTGAAATACTTTGACTCTGTAAAATGATAAATGAATTTGTTTATTTGCTCCCCCCAGCCCCCCAAATAAAACTAATGATTTAATTGGGGTTTGGCAAGAAAAGAAATATACCATTTATTCAAAGATCTAGCTTTCATCATGCTTTCTTGACAGCTTACTTTCATCAGCAGTACTGGTAGATTGGATACGTTTACCTTTTCTCCTACAAAACTTTTTCTATTTTTTTAACATAATTTTTATTAAAGAAATTTTTAACAAGGTAAAAACCATAAAAGAAAATAAAGATAATAAAATAGTATTATAGTGAAAAATAGTAAATACTGAAAATAGAAAAAGAAATGGAAAAGAAAGATTAGTGCTGCTCAATTCCAAATGTCTTATTATCTACCTTAAATCTTTTTCTTAACTGTGCATACAAAAACCATTGAAAATTAAATCCCTTGGCAGCCAATTGTTCGTTTGATTTCATCTTATATTCTCCATGTCCTAACAATGATAAATTAATCATTTTTCTTTACCTACTGTTTCTTTCCTATAAAATGCTTCTTGTGCTGAGACCCATAAAGACATTTTCGGCACAATCTGAGTTTAGATCTGTTCCATATCCTCAATATGGCACTTCTAATATAATGATTCTTAAAATCTACATTAACCTTAACTTTATCGTACCATAGAAAACCATGCCATCCAAGCCTCAAATCATGCTCTTCTAATTCTAAAATTCTTTTATTTCCCAGCAAAACCCATTCTTTCACCCAAACTAAGCAGCAGGCTGCAAAATACAATTTTAAATCGGGCAGTCCCAATCCTTCTCATTCCTTTGAAAACGTTTTCTGTTTTCAAAGTCTAGAAATGTAAAATAACCAATAAAAACCCTGAACTTCCATGTATATGCTTCTACAGACATTCCAAAGACTACAGATATGCTACTAAACAACATGCTGGAAGTCAAAAGCTAGTGTAAAATCATCACTGCTGTGATCAATGGATGGTTTTGACAAATGGCTTATAGCTAGACCATGAGTTCAGTTATCTCTCAAAATTCATTCCAGGATTTGCTCTCCATTTTGCTTGTACAAGCCCACTGTGGGCTTGTCAAGGTAAAGGGGAAACAAGTTTTAGCAACGCTTTCACTTGGTCTACACAAGCCTGAACAACTTTATAAAAAATGTACCACCACCACCCTCGCCCTCCTATTGTATCTGATACAGGTAATGTGACCCCATACTTTGAGATCTTCTGCTCTGGTATTATAAAAATCACCTGATTTTACAAGTCTCTGGCAGCAGGGACATGAGAAGCTGGAGCAATACTGGCTCAAGGGTCTAGAAGAGGGATGAGTGGAAAGGAGGAAGGGTAGTCATCTAGAAAAGGCTAGATACAGTACCAGACAGAAGCAAAAAAAGGCAGAAAAGTAGAATAAGGAGGAAGGAGAAGCAAAG